CGGCCGCCGCCGCTAGGGCCGCCGGAGCTGGGACTCGGTCCTCCCGGCCGGGCTCGGGGAGGCGCTGCGCCGCGGCAGCGGGCTCCATGGCGGTGGGGCTCGGCGTTTCCCCCCCAGCTCTGGAGGCGGCGGGCCGAGGGGGAGCCGGCGAGGCGAAGGCGGGAGCCGGTGGCGGCGCGGAGAGCGGTGCGAAGCCAATGGCGTTCGGCGCGGCCGTTCTAAGGATTATGTGGCGACTCGGAGCATTCCGCCGGTGTCTCGGCGTTCCATCCCGCGCGCCAGCCCGCAGCCGACACACGCCCTCCCCGCCCGAGCCGCCAGCTCCCAGCGCTGGCCCCGCCCCCGGCCCGCCCCGCCCGGACGAGCCAGCCGCGGAGCCCGGCTCCTGGAATATGAATCACGCGGCGGGAGAGGGGCGGGGGCTCCCCGCTGGCCTTATGAATATGCATCACCAGTATTTTGGCTTTCGCGGGGAGAGCCGGGGCTGGAAAGGGCGGGGCTTCAGGGTAAACAAATGAGACGCGTGCGTACGGGGGTGGAGTCGGCAGTTTCCCGGGGCTTCCAGAGCAAGTCGACTATGCCGCCGCTTCTGGGAGGGAGCCGAAGCAAAGAGAGACGCGCGATGCTTTCTGGGGGTTGTAGTTCTAACCCGAGAATGAGCTAGGCTAAGGGGAACATGAAGAACTACAAGCCCCAGCAATCCTTAAGTTCCGCCTCTCCGGGCAGCCTTGCCGTGGATAGTGCGTATCGTGCCCTCTGCTGTTGAACTCTGTAGGGGACGTTAGTCGTGGACGTTCTTTAGCTTGATGCCAACTCCACTCGCCAGGTGACTTAATTTCTCAGCTAATTAAACTGAAGGCTGTCCAAAAGGTCCTTGGTCTTCACCTCTGCAACCACATACCCACAGCATTACAAGATAACTAACTGGCCATCAAAGGGAGCCTGCCTCATTATCTTCCCTCGTTTTCAAGGCAGGGAAGATTGTATCTGAAAAACCTGATTTGGACAACTGTTGAATATGCTTATTAATGGAAATCGCGCAGACCTGAGCCCATCTTCCCCGACTCCTATACCTTAGAAGAAAAAGGTCGAAGGCTGAGATCTCATTTTCTCTCACTCGTTTTGAAGTTTGAAGTATCTCAGTGTTTGGGAAGCAGTGCAGAATAGAAGAGACGTTGGCGGTAAGACCTATTAGGATACAAGACAGGCTGTTTCCATGTGTTCTCTCTTACATCTTCCCCTTTTTTGTTTTGTTTTTTTCTTTCGACATTGAGAGGAAAAAATATTTCCTACTTTACAGTGTTTAGTTGTGATCTGTAAAGTTGCGTTTTCTTGTCAGTTAATTAGTGTAAACTGGACTAGGAGCATTTACTACTTAAAAGAAGTTTGTCAGTCTTTTATATTGAGTTACCATTGTTTCAGAATGTTTCATATATCTGGATTTTTACCAGTGAGACTTTTACATAGTTTCCAACTACATATTATCCTATGTATTATAATAAAGTTACAAAACTTAAGGGGAAATGAAAAGTATCAACTGAAACATGAAGATGAAATGAATTGAAAAGGACAAGGAGAGTTATACTTAGGTTATCCACCTAGTTTCATTGACAAAAAATGAAGAAAGCTACCAGGACCAAAAAACAAAAACAATTAGTTCCCATATAGAAATTTCTGGAAATTATTTCCAGAAATTTTCTTTTACAATCTTAACACCTTAACATTAAGAAACAAATTTTTATCCCATTTAAATTCAATCCACAGATCAGAGTTCCATTTAAATATTATTGTGGTTGTCCTGTTAGTGTGGTCGTGTCGCTTCCCACTCATAGCGACCCGGTATATGGCCTGTTGGGTTTGAACCACCAACTTTTTGGTTAGTAGTCCAGTGCTTATCCTACAGCTCCATACCAGGATTCCGTTATGGAGAATGCAAAATTCCTGAGAGTTTACATATTCAAGCCATTCACTTTTAACAAATAATTATAAGCAAATATGTCACTTTGGGGATTAAGGTGCACCCAAGATATGGTATTTCAATCACTTATATGTTGAGTCCTGATGTGACGCTGTAGGATAAGCACTGAACTGCTAACCACAATATCAGCTGTTCAAACCCAAAAGCTCCTCCTTAGAAATATTATACAGGGTCACTATAAACAACACTAACAGAAGCAGCAGTCAAGAAATCAAACGACATATTACATTAGGCAATTGTGCTGCACAAGGCCTTTTTAAAGTGTTGAAGAGCAAAGATGTCAGCTTGAGGACTAAGGTGCATCTGACCCAAACCATGGTATTTTCAATAACCTCATATGCATGTGAAAGCTGCACACTGAATAAGGAAGACCATAGAATAATTGATGCTTTTGAGTTATGGTGTTGGAGGAGAATATTGAAAGTGCGATGGGCTGCCAAAAGAACCAACAGATCCGTTTTGGAAGAAGTGCAGCCAGAGTGTTCCTTGGAGGCCAGGATGGCCAAACTTCGTCTCTCATACTTCGGACATATTGTCAGGAGGGACCAGTTGCTGGAGAAGGATATCATGTTTGGTAAGGTGGAGGGTCAGAGAAAAAGAGGAAGACCCCAACGAGATGGACAGGCCAAGTGGCAACATTGATGGACTCAAGTGTGGCAACAGTAGTGAGGTTGGCCCAGGATTGGGCAGTGTTTCATTCTGTTGTGCATAAGGTACTGACTTGAGGGCACCTAACAACAACAACAATGACTCAGAACATACTGGATAACACTTAAGAACAACAATATATTCATGTGAAAACTAGACAATATTATGATAAGGAAAACTGAAGAAGAATTAGTGCATTTCAATTATGGTGTTGGTAAAGAATATTGAAAGTACCATGGACTGCCAGAAGATTGAACAAATCTGTGTTGGAAGCAGTATAGCCAGAATGCCCCTTAGAAGGGAGGATGGCAAGATTTCATCACATGTATTTTAGACATGTTATCAGGAGGGGTCAGTCCTTGGAGAAATTGGAAAAGGACATAATGCTTGGTAAAGTAGAGGGTCTGCAAAAAAAGAGGAAGACCTTACTGAGACAGATTGGCACAGTGGCTGCAACAAAGAATTCAAAGACAGCAATGATTGTGAGGACTGTATAGGACTGGGCAGTGCTTCATTCTGTTCTACACAGGGTCACTATGAGTTGGAACCCACTTAGTGGTACCTAACAGCAACAATGTCAGATCAACTGGAACCTTGTAGTTGAAATAACAAAAATTGACAAGGGCAGTGAAGCTTCTACCTAGAGCTTGTTAGTATCATGAGACATCAGCTAGACCATCTGTGCCAACCCACACAAAACAACATCTCAGAATAAGAAAAATATTTCAGCAAAGGACAAACCGTTTTCCAGACACCCCTGGAATGGCAGCTTCTCCTACTTAAAAACAAAGTGGCAAATAGGCCAGTATTCAGAGACCATGAATATCCCCTACAAAGTATTCCAAGTATATACTCTAATACCATATTACTGGCTAGCCATCCTTTTTGAAGACACGCATCTTAAGATGTTCAAAGATCATCTTGAAAAGAAACAGCAGACTTAAAAGTTGTAAACCCCAATGCCAACTTGTCAAAATATTTTCAAAGCTAATTTTGGAAAAGGAGAGCATCATTTTCAGTTCATTGCCATAGTTTACTTTATGCTGTGTGATTTGTGCATGACTTGCTGTTTTCTGCAACTAGGTTAATCCTATTTGTATTCTTAGAGCTAAGATAGAAGTAAACCATCCTTGGACCTTTTTTCCTAATACAAGCAGTTTGAAATTTAATGGAGACATGAATTGACGGACTGATAGTAGATGGTTTCTGTCTGAATTGTTAAGAGCTCAGCTGTGTCCAGAAATAAACCCAGAAAGATACAATATACATGGTAATACATTTAGTACATTATGAACAAGGGATCTAATTATAGTTTCACATTTTTATATCCCTTGAGCTACTAGTGGTTTACCATACCTAAATTACTCAGTATTTACTCATTCTTTTTTACTATAAGGGACCCATTTAGTAAATTACTGCTCTAGTGCAGGAAATGGGTCCCAGGTGGCCAAACTGAATTAATCTGTTCTCTCGGCTCACTGGCAGGATGAGACCTCCAGTCTCTCTAAAGTCTTCCCCTCCATCAGAAAATGTATCATCTGCAGTCCCTCAGAGTTTAGCCTGCTACTATCATCTGAAGCCCATTGCTGTCGAGTCGATTCCAATTCACAGCAATCCCACAGGGCAGTAGAACTACTCCATAAGGTTTCCAAGACTGTAAATATTTACCAAAGCGAACGGCCTCATCTTTCTCCCAAGGAGCAACTGGTGGCTTCAAACCACTGACCTTTGGTTACCAGCCCAGCGTTTAACCCGCTGCACTACCTGGGCTCCGTATTACCGTCATTTTAGGCACTCCATTGTAGATTTTAATGCATTTTGTTGTTGTTGTTTTAATCCCACAGTTCTTTGCCTTTTTCTTCTCACACCCTGCCTCCCAGGTTTAGACAGATGTTTTAGACCAAGAAACTGGCCATGTAGTCTCCATGTTCCTGCAACCACGTAGGTTATCTGGGACAGACATCCCACAAGTATTTTTATGTGCAGGCATCATCCACCAGCAATAAACAACCCAGACGACACTGTGGGTTAATGCGCTGGACTGCAAGGTCAGTGGTTCAAGCTCATCAACTGTTCCTCTGAAACCCTATACAGGATTGCTATGGGTCAGAACAGACTCAAGAGCACTTATCCACAGAATAAGCACTGGACTGTGAACCACAAGGTTGGCCATACAAGCCCACCAGCTGCTCTGCATTAGAAAGATGAAGGTTTCTGTTCCCACAAAGATGTAAAGCCTCAGAAACCATATACACTGTCGCTATGAATCAGAACTGATGGAAAAACACTTGATAACAACACACAGACAAAATTACCTGCCCTAATTTACATCCTCGGAAACCCTGTACAAGGTCGCTATGGGTCGGAACCGACTCGACGGCACTTAACAACAACAACAACAATGAAGCTTTAGGAGCTCTGGTAGCGTAGTGATTACGAATTTGGCTGCGAGCCGCAAGGTC